AATGGCGGCAGAGGCAACCACTATTATGACAGCGACTGGCTGAAGCAAAAGCAATTTGTTGCACTCACTCAGATACACACGCACACATGGATGCAGAGTCGCACAACTAGCAGCTACCAGATAGAATTGTATCTGTGAGAGACAACTCAATGCGCTCAGTCCGCTGCTATGAAAAATGGATCTGCTCCAGAAGATTTCAGTAATCTCGTCCGTCACACTTGGCCGCTCAAGTACAAATTTATGAAGACTCCACCGAGGAACAGCCCTCCCTTTTTCGACCATGTCCGAGTGGGTTTTATTAACTTGTTCTTTGCAGCAGTCAAGAATGTCACGGTAGAGTGGCCAAAGTGTCAGTGGATAAGACATTCCGATTGCCGGTGGTTATGATGTAAGTTCAATAAATTTTCCATTGCAACAATGCCCAGACAATGGCAGCCGGTAATCAGTGTTGTTGCCTCAGCTCATTTGCATGGCAATCTTTTGCGAAATCCCAGCTAAATGACTCTCCTCTATTCCCTCCTGTGTGAAGAAATGGGCGTGTTGTTGAAAGCGCAAAACAATTAATGTGACTGCGATGGGGCTTAATGAACTTTTGCAAAGAGAAAAAAATCGGAAAAAAACCTTGTAGCCAAGTGGGAAAAGGAAAAACCTGCGATTGTCTCCATCTCCATCTCCAACTCCACGGATCGTTATTCCTTTCACATTCGATTTAGCATTTAACGGCCCACGAAATCAGCCATTTCCACAGCGATTTCCACTTCCATCCCGACAATTTCAACGCACACAATTTTCAATTAATTAAACCAAAAATATTCTTGTTGCTTCTGTTGCTCCCCGGAGGAGAAGCCTTTTACAATTGACGTAAAATATAATTAAAATTGTTCATGTCAATACGCAAAGCGAAATCGAAATCGGAGTCGAGGGGTTTGCAAGTTGCACAAAAAGTCAACGCGATGCGACGCATTCAATCAATGCGTGGCAGACAAAATGCAAAAATGCACTTTTATTGTGTTTTAAAACAAATTGAAAATTCAACAATTCGGTGTAGAAAAAATGTTGGCATGAGCAGAAAATCAAATACCAAATAGTTGTATGCTCTGTAAAAAAACAATCCCAAATATGTTTCAAAAGGGAATTAGGATGAATTTCTTGTTAACATAGAATCAGATTTATTTAAATTACTTCATTCCGAACTGAAACAAACTCTGCACTACTTAACTCTTAACCTTCTACTGATTTCCAGCTTAAATATTGAACAATAAATGAGGTATTAATTTGTTAAGATTTCGAACATCACCCAAAAATGTTTACAATGACCTCGATCCGTCTCCGCTCATAAATTTCCATGTTGCCATGTCATATGATAATCAGAATTTATGGCTTAATTGCTAGATAATAGAGCAAAGAATTAATTCCCATGTTCCCATGGCATTTATGGCAAACAAAGCCCATCATATGTCAGTTGAGAACAGTTTTTGGGTTAGGGTATTTCTGCACACATTGCTGTGTAATAATAAATATTTTGTTTGGCTTTTGTTTATGTAAAGCTTCGCTTTTTGCCAACGCTCTATGCCTGCCACTTTTTTTTTTGCATTTAATCTTGCATTACACCCGTTGCAGCTTTGATTTTTGCTGTTGTTGGCATGTAAATGGGCTAAAAGGGCGGGGTTTTTGTCGCTGCATTTTTACGCCCGCCTAGTTATGTGCTTGCAGTTTTTACTTTCATCGCTGTCGTCGCATGCAAAAGTGTTGTATAAATTTCAGTTTCAATTGGCCCCCCAGCGGAGTGATCGATGTCGATGTCGATGTTGAGCAATCGGAAAGTGTCAACCTAAAGGTGGCCGATGAACATGCACCTGCATTGCGACCCCAAACACACATCTTTTCACCCAGCCTTCACAAAACGCAGCGTCAACATCATTATGGTTGTGCTATTGCTGCTGCTGCTGGTGCCTGATTTCTTTTGACGAAAGCGCAAAAATTTTCCTAATGATGCCGCGCAAATTCAACTGCAACTAACTGTTTGCTGTTTGCTGTTACCTGTACTCTACACCCTGTACCGTACCCCGCCGATTTTCCGATTTTCCACCGCCGACTGCAGTAATCTGGTCATGGCCAACGTGGATGATTGTTGACTTTTATGATTTCCATTTCTTAGCTTTATTATGGACGTGTGGCAAATCAGCAGCAGCAGCAAATAGAAAACACCGCAGCGGCAGCTACAACTATACCAGCTCCAGTCCAGTGGTACAAAAAATCAATAGAAATCCCCCGGATGGACCAACTCAACTCTCCCCCGTGCATCTGCTGTGCGTATGCCATAAATCGTAACAATAACCACTTGCCACTTTACCAGACACCGAACAGACATCAACGTCGAGTTGGATTCGTATTCGTATTCGAATTCGGACTCGGACTCTGATTCGGACCTCAACTCGGACTCAAAGTTGGACATGGAGCAGCTGGAGAAGGCGGCATACGATTTCACTTGACTGACAAACAGACATAAGCAAAGTGTTTGGCTTCAGCCATATCCCTCAAGTGACTTTCTAAGCGATGCCAAATGCCTGCAACATGAAAAATGTGGAGCGAAGGCATTGCAGCAATGGCAATGGTAGTAGCAAAAACAACTCAATGCCATTATCATTGGGCGGCAAATACCCAATTACTTGTAATATACAGAGTGCTTGTATGCACTGTATTGCACTGCATAAAGCACCTGTATCTCGGGATCTTTGCGAGTTCGGGGTACCCTCTTTGGTATGCCAACTTCTATTGCGATTACCAAAGATTCCCCATTCATTATCAGCCATAAACTTTTAGGATACCAGTTCTGCCTTATAGCTGTGCTTATAAAATCTGCTGGATCTCAGGTTCTATTAGAGTTCGGGGGATCAGTTTTGGTATGCGAACTTCATTGATGTTTGTGACCAAATTAATTTTATTTTTAGAGCTGCTTTAAATTCTTATAGCACAACCACTTAGATCTCGGGATCTATAAGAGTTCGCGGTACCAATTTTGGTATGTGAGCTTCTTTGATGTTGATAGCTATAAAGAAATCACAGGTTTTTGACTATCCTTTATTTCTTTACAATGACAGTTAAAAATGGCCGTAAAAATAGACTCAGTACCGGGTATCTTTTGGGTCACAACGTTCATCACTCTCATGTGTTTTATAAGGCTGCTCGGTCCATTTAGCCGCCTCCTTCCATATTTTCCCTTCCGTCCTTCAACCCGTGTCCAGTGCTGTGTAGTGTGCTCACAAATATTGTCCCACACAACTCATAAAAAGCCCATTTATAACTGTTAACTTGTACAAAAGTATTTACAGACGATTTAGCAGCTCTCAGAATTACAACCATCGCCACACAATTGCAATTGTTTATTTGTGTTTACTGCTCTCACCCCGCCCCCTTTTCCACCGCCGCCCACTTTTCCCCCTCCCCCAAACCCCCTCAATGAAATTTCCCCCTTTGCTGGCCTGCTTCTTCTGCTTTGGACTACAACTACACCATCTCCCTTTTGGTAGCAATAAAAAGTGTTGTTATTTGTACAATGTTGTTTGTTTGCGCCAGAGTGTGTTTTTTGTTATGTTTGCTATTATTGTTGCTATTATTACAGTTGTTGTTACATTGGTCGTTGTTTAGTGGGCAACACAGCTGCTGCTGACACGCAGAATTCAATGCAACAAGAAGAAGCCCAAGTGCAAAACAAAAGCAAAAAACTGGAAAAACAAATAAACCAGTAGTAGCAGCAAAATCATCGAGAGAACTGAGAAAGGGTGGTGGAATCCAAAGTTTTCCATTGTCCCATGGTTGAATGAACATAAAGACGATTGTACAAAGAAATGGTGCAGTAGGGGTTAATGGTAACATTTGGCAAGTGTCAAAAATATTGAATCCTACAAAAAACATAGAAAAATGTATATGAGCCCCTAACTAAATTTATTTTCCAAAAATGTAAGCTACTTTAAAAAATGTATACCTGACCAAAACAATAATTATTATTATAATTTATTGAGAAATTTCTTAATATTGTTGCTCAGTTTATTTATAGAACTTTTATTAAAATAAACCAAAATCAACTATTTGAGCCTTTTATATAACTTTTTTTTAAGCCCCAGTTGCTGTTTGTGTTAATGGAAATTAATTATTTACTCTCCATTTTAATTTTAAGCTGATTGCTAACCGAGCAAATATTCCAACATATTTTCACGCGTTAATATATTTAAACGTTCAAGCATAAATTGTGTTTAAGCCACTCTGATAAATAATTCCGAAGCCTTTTGCTCTACAGAAATAAACAGAGCTCTTGGCCTCATAATTAGTTAGGTCCACAGCATTATAATGGGTATTAACTTCTGTATTTTAAGCCGCTTAACGTTTTAGCAAACCATCTTCACCTAATATACTTGGTAGTCAATAGGAGGATATCATTACGAATAGCCCCATTTACTTTCATTACCTAAGCCATCGCATCAATAATGATAAATTAGTGAAAGTGTCAGGAACAGAGATTTAAGCCTCTTTGTTAGTTAAACATCCACATTACCATTCGTATTAAATTCAATATTAAAACAGCTTATTTGTAAAGCACATTACATCAATATACCAGTAGTTGCTGGCTGAAACGATATGAGCCGAAAATAGTTAAAATTCATAAATGAAAAGAAAAAGCCGGAGCAAGGTTAGTTTGCATTGTTCGTATTTGTTTTTTCCGGCATTTCCATTGCCGTTGCAACAATTACTGCAGCGTAAAATAAAGGAAAAGTAAACAAATGCACTTTATCTGCTGGCCAACAGAGTGCAGCAGCATTTATAGGAAAAATGGGTTATGAAAAACAATTTGAAAAGGTATTAAATTTATGTCAGTACCCGCCCCAGGGTTGTTGTAAAATTTTATATGCACATACGCAGAGAGCTGGTCGCTGTCAGCGGAATTTCTCATATTGATTTTGCCTTAAATAATAAAAAATATTTTTTTCTCCACTCTTTTCCAGTGTGCAGCGTTTAATGGCCGATGGATAAAGTGAGGTAAGTGAAACAAAAAGCCAGAAGGGTAGCGTTTTTGTAGCATTGCTTATTAAAAATAGCTGGCTGCAAGCAAAAACAAGCTTAAAGTGCATGGACAGAGACACAGACGCAGTCACGAGGCTTGTTGTAGTATTTTTCAAGAATTGGGACAACAAGGCGCATAAATAACCGACATGCCAACAAAAAAAAAACAGAGTCGCAGAAAAAGCCTGTAAAAAACTAAGCGAAACTCGCCAAGATACTGCACTTAGAATAGTAAACAAGCGATGGGGACAGGGGTTTGTACACAGGGAGATATTATATAGTATTATTAAACATAATCAAAATTAAAAATCTAAAAGAAATACATATGGTAAGGACTTGCTAGAAGCAACAACATATATTGCATATTAAATGTTAATTTTTATATCATTAAAATTAGCAAAAATAAATAGCCTACCTCTATGGTAAATAAATTCCTAAACATTTTTACAAAAATTAAAAAATAAATACTTTTCTATTACCTATTTAATGGTGTTTAAAAATATCACCCTTATGTATGAAAGTTAGAACTTTTTTATGTTAATATGTAGCTAAATCGTTTGGCATTTCTTGCTGTGCGGGTGCAAGGAACGAGTGTGTGTGAAGGAATTGCAACTAAATACGAGAGCTAAGATGAATCGCAATGCATCCCGCCCACCGCTCCCCGCCCCCGCGGCATTTCCACCATTTGGTCCACAGTGGGAGCAAAAAGAAAGCGCACATACCGGTTTTCCGCGGCCCAGAGACAGTACGAGTACGAGTACACGGGGACAGGTTTATTTTCCCGTTGGGACTGTGTGACAAATCAAGCGAGAAGCGAGAGCGAAGACAACAACCGCGACCGGAGAGAAAAAAAAAGACCATAGCCATCGTACGCGGAAAACGTCAATGGCCAGGAAAATTCTGAGAGGGCGGAGGGGACGGGGAGGTGGAAAACTGTGTGCAAGAGGGACGGCACACAGCTGCGACGCTCTGCGTAATGGCAGCAGGAAATTGAAAAAAGTTGCCGCGCGCTCACCTTTGAGGCGCTTCTGTTGCATTTCCTTGCCTGTTCTTGGCGCTTTTCTTTTCCAAGAGGTATTCAGGGAAAATCCGGGTATATGTTGCAGCCTAACAACATAGAGAAAAGAGGTTTCTCCGAAAAAAGCGGCTAAAATGTTTAAATCAAAACAACATTTTATATTCTTTCCTCTGACTTAAATTTTCACATCAAAATAAAAATAAGGCTTTATTCTGTGTATTAAGAGATAAAATAGTTATTTTGATAATTTATAGCTTATGGCATTGACTAATAATGATTCTTTAAAGTATAATTGCAATGTAAATATAATAGTTTTCGAGTTAACTTTTCTGCTGTCAGCAAACAAACAACAAACTGGATAATAAATATTAAATTTATTGCTTTATATTTATAGTGGTTGTTTGAGGGAAATATAATTATATTTTATCTGGTAAATATTAGTATGCAAAGTTTATTACTAGGTATGTTTAAGTCGCCATTCGGTCATCATGTTGCACTTTATCCTGCACTTGACAGTCGTTTCCACCTTTACCGCCTAGGAAAGAGTGTCAAAAGTCAAACACTCTTGCTTGTCTCAGTCCCAATCTCTTGAGTTGTGGGAGTCGCACAGGGACACGGGTTTTTGCTGATTTATGGTACTTTATTTCGGTTGGCTAAAACTAGCCTAAAGTCACTGGCCTAGATTTGAAAAAAAATGTCTCCATGGGAATAAGAATATGTTTCTCAAGGTGCCAATTTTTCTTAAGTAATTCCTAATTGGCTTTGCACACATATGGCAAATTCTTTAAATTGAAAAACAAAGAAAAGCCTTATTTGGTTTGAAATAATGATGATTAGAAATCATCAAGACTAAAAAAATTAATTATATGTTTGTATACAAAATTATATTGCATTTTATTTAAAATCTTAATGTTATTTTTTATATCACAAAAAATTTTATTTCTAAACAATCATCTTTAGATGAGAGTTTAGATAAGTGTGTAGTAAAGAGTCTTGATTTTCTTGGTTGTCTATTCAAGTTATCACGTTCTTAAAATCACTAAATATGGTCCTCAATTAAATTAATGACTTCCGCGTTAGACCATAGACTATAGCCTATAGCTTGCCGATTTCCTGGAGATACTTTCGCTTGCGTTTCTGCTGCTTCTCGAGTTGCCGCCGCATATTGTTCTGCAACCTGTCGCGGTACTCGCGTTCCCGGTCCAGGGCATTCATCTGCTGGGAACTGGCCTCCGCGTCGAACTCGAGGTCAAAGGCCGTCTCCCATTGACGTCGCTGCTGCAGCTGGATGAGCTCATTCGTCAGCTGCAACTTGGTGCTGCAGATGCGCATCAGCCGCCGTTTGGGGCGCCCCAACTCCCGCCGATGGAGATACAAGGCATAGCTCACGGATTTCTCAGCCCTCTGGGAGTTGCCGCTGCTCGAATAGTCTGGCATTTCTGCTAAAATGTATCTTCTCGTCTCTGGTTCCTTTGGCTGCTATGCAAATCGAAACGCTCTCGTCGCTGGTTTGAGGCCAAATGACGCAATCAGTGCGTGTGCGGGCGACTTTTAAGTCAGTCAGGTAGTTCGATCTGCATTTCCCGGCTTTTCCAAGCCCATGTCCCAGCGGGCAGGTATGCAAAAATCCAGAATTTATTGCCGCATATTGTAACTGAAGAGCTCAATTAGCTGGGCGGATGGCTGGGGGGCATATACTTTATACCTTTGTACCTTATACCTTACCTGCAGCTAATCTCGTACCGCGACTTGAACTGATTACGTTTTCCAGCTCAGTGCTCAGTTGTTGCCAACGGTGTCATCGCCAGCAGGCAGAACAGAGAGCTCCAGGTTCAATGCAAATGCGCTTTGCATGTTGCCGCTAATTGGCAATAGTTGTCGATGTTACTGTTCTTTCGCTGCCACACTCGATTCCCTCTAGCCTCGCTGCACTTGGCAAAAATTGTATGCCAAAAATATTAATATTGAAGTCTTCCAAGGAAAAAGAAAATGTAAAAAACTTCCTTTAAATAAGGACAAAATGTGTATGAAACCGATTCCAACATTTCATTTTGGGCAGAAAGTACACAAAGTATTTTTATTTGGACGATTTTTTGGATTTTCGCGCTTAAGGAAGATAATAAAATAAAATTAAATCTTATTTGACTAAAATGAATTGACTTATATATATAAAATATATTGTAAAATGGTTATTTTGTTCAACTAGGTCTTGGATGTAAAAGGCAACATTGTGAAAACTTAAGTTTAATAAGTAATGCATTTCCAAAGATATTTATTTCTGTGCATGCTGTCAAGCTTCAATTTAATAAATTTTGCATTACCTTAAAAGCAAAAAACCTTAAAAGATCTAAAGTAGATATATTAAAAAGTAAAGTAGTTTTTATGACTATCTGAGAACTTGATTTCGCGAGAAATCACTTTAATATTCCTAGAACTGTGTTCCCTAATTTAACACGCCAATAAGAAACTACTTAATATCCAAAAATAGAATGTATTACCTAAGAAAAAAGATTTTGTCTAATTTCAAGGTGTGATGTACGTAATTTCTAGACTTCATTAATTATTCACAATTAGTTCTCCGTTTACTAGAGCATATTCTCGCCTTTGGACAATTTGTGGTAGTGTAAATTTTCAGTTCTTTTCAGTCTTTTTCACTGAGACGTGACCGGCGTGATTGATGAACGCCGTTATGCTCTTACGTTTGCCATCGAATCGAAGCGGCCCTGCGAGCGGTACGCGTTTAGTTTTAGTTTAGTGTCCATGTCGAAGTCCACATCTATATCCACATCCATGTGTGTAATTCAAGCGCATGCGTCGCTGCCTCACAAGGTGTTGCATAAGCCGGCGCCATAAAATGAACCGGCAGAAAAACAATAAAACACACCAGCAAATTAGAAATTACCTTTATGTGCAATACGAGGTAACGTAGCAAACAAAAAAAAAAACAGAAAAAAATGGTAACAAATTTACACACAATGGGCAGTTAGTCTGTGGAAGGGGCATTGCCTTGTGGCAAATGTGCGTGGCATTACATCAGCGATTTCTTTTGGCCAACTCTGCATCTGCGGCCTCATTAAGCCGGGTTAAATCGGAACTGTAATATCCAAGCTTGGGTTAAATCGGAACTGTAGTTGTACCATAGGTTGCCAAGCCAGTGCGGAAACTCTAAGGCCACATTACTATTGCACATCAGCCAGTGCGTTGCCAAGTGATTTCCCTTTATTTACGGAGGGAAAATGCTGCTAATTAACCCACATGGCCGGGAGTGTGAACTGGAAATTGCTCTCCAGCTTGTCCATCCAGCTCTCGGCCAGCAAAACTTTGCAGTCCAGCTGCATTACAATGTTATCCAAATGACAATACGCAAAATATATATATATTATACATATACTAGATCCCTAAAAACTTTTGTCGGGTAGCGACAAATTTCCAACTGGCAAAACTCCATGTAACAACACAATGTATATATATGCTGCACTCACACAGAAAAACAACTATAACAAAGCAAACAAAATGCAGAAAAAGAATGTTTTCCACATCAAAATGCACATAAATAATAAATGGAACCAGCCAAACGACCAGAACAGGAAAAACGGACGTACAAGGCTCGGAACCTGGAAACAAAAGAGAATCGAGATGCCAGAATCTGAAAACTGAAACTGAAAACCGAGAACAGAGAACTGAAAACTGAAAAACTGAAAAACAGAGAAACTGGCAACTAAGAGAACGGAAAATGTTGGTCAGCAGGAGCCATTGTTGTTTGGGACAACTGTTAATAATGAAAGCGCTGGCGAAAATTATGAAATTAATTTTCCAATTTTAATTATGCAACAGTTGCCAGCTTCTCTGTTGCAGCTCCTCAAAATGCAAATTGACTGGCACATGCAGAAAGTTGTGAATGGAAATGGGAGTGGGAAACCCTTTTGTGGCTGCATTTGCCCACTGGGATTACCCCACTGTAACCCTTTTCCACCCATCCATTCAATTTGGGCCAACGCAGATACAGACACACACACACACACACTCGCTTGCATCCGTGAGATTTCATTCGGGAGGTCTGCTCAACTTTGATTAGAGTTAAGCCCCAAATTAGTTGCCGCCATCGGCCGCGTTGATGGCCCGACCTTTAGGCCGCGTTAATGCTTCCCGTGCCAGTCGCCTTGGATTGGCTTCTCGATAAAGTCATCCAGATGGTAACGGATATGGAGTGGGCGGCTCAGAATTAACATTGATATATATATTCATAAGCCTGAGATAAAGAAAGTAAGCTAAGAAAAATGGGTACAAGTTTAAAAATGTTTGGTTAAATATAAGAAAGAGGTAGTATTTATTCTAGAATCAAAAGCAAGCTTAAAAAGTGTTCTTAACTTTTTTTCTTCAAATGTTTTACGGGCTTTATACTCTTTTTTATTAAATAAATTTTAAAGGATTTCTAAATGCGCAAAAAAAAAACTGTATTTAATTTTGTACTGTATGTACATTCTATATTCATTCACAAAATGTTGTAAAGGTGTAGTATTTAGTGCTGTTAGATATTTTTTGGATAAAAGCTTAATTTAATTTATAAATATTCTTATTTAAATATTTAAAATTCCAAATTAAAATATTATGTTGTCTTTATATGTTGCTTAATCTGAAACTGGTAAAAATCTAAGCATCTGAAAAAAAAATTAACTTATATTAAAAATAATTTCGGAAAATATGTTTTAACTTCACTGCTTTTACCTTTTTGAAAACAAAATTTGTTGAATAACTGAAGTTAACATTTAGCATATATTGCTTGATGATAGTTAGTCTTATACTGATAAGCCCCTTGCATTTAAAACACCTATTATTCTTTTGTTCATTTTTGTTAACAAAATCTAAACATTTTGAGCACGACTATAAAAGGTATACATCTGTCGGTTAATCCGGGCACAAGTGAACCTGGGACGCAGATTGGTAAGTCGTTAGAGCCACAAATATGCACACACAATCCGCCGTAAATATTACGAGTGTTAATCGTTCCGATTCCGGCACAGATGTCCGCCGGACAAGGTCGAGAACAACAGCAACAATGGCCGAATGACCGAATGGCCGGAAGAGCTAGAGCGGCACTTCCGAAACTTAGTTGATGCCAACTTATTAGCGAAGACCGTTTAATGGGTCCAATTAATGTCAACCAAGTTGGCGGCGGCGGCAGTGATTTCTGGGCGATTTTCTGTGGGCGCCTTTGGGCCAAGAGTGAAATTCAGTCGAAACGAAAGTTTCGCTGGCCATTGATTGGCCCGCTTCGCTGCACGCGAACAAAAAGCCAAGTCCGCATCGGCAAAAACTTTTTCGGATTGAACATTTGTAGAAATGCATAAAAATTAATTAACAAGCCAGCAAGCAAGCAAGCAGATGCCGTCGTACCGAGCAGTTTTGGCTGAAATTATTGTTAGCCATTGGCTCCGAGCTAGCTGCTGGAAAAATTAAAGCAAAAGCATAAGAATTTTTAATTGGCTTTTCTGCTTCATCTTCTCTCTGGCTATTGTTGCCATTATTCTAGTTGTATTTGTTGTGTTTCCTACTCAATGCCGTCGTCATCGTCGACTTCTCGCACATTTAAGCCTAATTAACTTTCTACTTAGAGCTCAGTTTTCATCTTCTCGCTGCCGAGGAGAGTGGATCTACACTGGGGGAAAAAGCTTAAATATGTTTAACATGTTTACAACCAAATTTAAAAGCTGTTTTATATTTGGCAGTAAAAATTAATAGTTGAATTTTTATAAATTGAACAAAATAAATGTACATTTTATGAGTTATATTTGATTTTCAAAAGACTGTTAGGGTTAAGAGAGTCATGGTCCAAAATTCATAAGGTATCTTTATCGTTTGTTTTAAATTCGTATATTTTTAAGTAAAATTTTATGTTTTTAAATTGTTTCCTTTTTTTTATTTGACAAAGGTTGTAGTGTAGGTCTTCTTATGCCAAATTCGCTTTATTCCTTGACTTTGGCTCTCTGTGCATTTTGCATTGTTGGCTTTTTGTTTTTGCCCCTTTCGTCCCGTTGTACCTTATTGTGTTGGCCGCCTTTTGCTGCTTTTGCTGCTTTTGGTAGTTTTGCTGTTTTTTCTACTCTTGCACTGCGTCAACTTCTAATTTCAGTTGAAGCCTCCGCTGTTGGCTTTGATGATGCCATGGCCAAGCGCAGAACTTGCTGCTACTGCTGCTTCTGCTGCTGATGCTTCTGCTGCTCAAACGTGGCTAACAAGGTGAAAAGTAGGTGAATGTTAAGCAGCGGCACCAACAATGTTGGGAAAAACAAAAGAAAAATGGCAACAACACCAACAATGACAAAGAGTAAACAACATTTAGCGAAAGAGTGGAGTGAAAAAGAAACACGACACACCAACAAAGGCAGAAGACAAAACGTGCCAAAAAAGGGTTAGAGCCAAAAACAAAAGACAAACAAACAAACATATTAACGTAAAATGTTGTTGGCCCGCCAATGTTGCCGTCGTAGATGTTGCTGTTGCTGCTGCTTCTGCTGTTGCTGTTGCTGATGGCTCCGATAAGTTGCTGCTGCTACTCCGACAACAGCAACTCAACTCAGTCTATGGCAGCCTGGGATCTGGAGTATATAGTTTATCTACGGAATTTCCATCTGCCCCCACCGGAAGTGCACATTAAGTGTTTTTAATTTCCAGTTTCGCACAACTTGAGAACTGTTTGCGAAAGAAAAGCGAAAGGCGCGGGCGTGAATGTTTCCATTGTCGTGGCCTCGCACAAATCATTTTGGCCCATTCTTAAAGCTGTCAAAAGGAGACTTGTGAATCGCTTACCAAGACCCACTAAAGAAAAATTATGACAGGGAGCATTTTATGTTGGTAAATGTAAGAATATAATATATTGTTATCACAACAAAATATGTAAGTTTAAATAATTTATTAGTGGAATTAAAGTAAGAAAATTGTATAAAATTAAACATACACTTTTAAAATTAAAAATTTATAAATTTAGCAATTTCTTGTTTTTATATATTTTTTGTCCAACATAAAACCTTATTTGAAAATTAAAAGGATTAAATGATGAATGAATAATAGTTTCATGTTAGTATTATTCTAAGTAAAGAAAAAATATAAAAGTCAACTTAAAGAAATGAACTTACACTGCTTTGTATTTTAATCATTGAAAATGAATTAATTTAG